CAGCTGCAGCCACAGCTGCTCCAGATACGCACCCAGACCCAGGCGAATCTTGCAGCTCCAGCGCCCGTTCCCGTGCCCGCCCATGTGCGTGTGATGCGCCAGCAGCAGGCGCAGATCATTCCCGGCCAGCGGCTGCCAGTGGCCAGCAGCAGTGCGGCAATGGCCACGATGACGAGGAGCTTAGTGACCTCCACGGCGGGCACGAGCACGATCACCGGTCGGCCAGTGACCACCACGTTGACCAGCGCGAATCCCACCATGGCGCAACTGCAGACGATGGCGAACGCTATGGGTGGCGCTGGTGGGGGAGGGCAGTTGATAATGACGTCCTCAGGCCAACTGCTGGTCATACCCACGCCCAGTAAGCAGACGGCGCAGCACCATCGTCCCGGTCAGCCCGGACAAGGGGTCATCATCCAGCAGCAGCAGCCGGCGGAGTTGCATCCACAGCCAGGAGGAGGCTATATTGTCAGCCAGCCCGCTCCGGTGGCGGCGGCCAGTTCCAGCAGCAGCAGCAGTACTGTGATCTTGAACTCCGGTGGGGCGAAGCTGTTGCACCACCAGATCATCACCTCGCAAGCTGGCCAGATTAATCAGGCGGCCGGAGGGGCAGGAAATCAACCGCAGACCGTGCTGCTCAATACGCTGCCCAATGGCGGCTACATCGTCCAGCAGCAACAGCAATCGCAGACGCTGCAGCAGGCGGAGCAGAGCCTGGCCATGCCGCAGCCGCCGCCGGCGCAAACCCTGATCATCAGCTCGCCGGATACGAAGCGGAGGGCGCGGAAGCGCAAGAACTCCATATGCCACACACCGCCGCCGAGTGGCTCGCCCGCAAAAACTCTGTCGCCCCAGATCTCGCCCAGCATCCCCAGCCAGGCACCAGCTCTGCTCCACCAGCAGGCGGCGGCAGCGGCGGCGGCTGCTCCCCCCCAGTTCCAACAGCAGTTTCAGCTGAGTCCCGGCATCCAGGGCATTGTGGTCAACAAGCCAAATCCGCCGCAGGCCCAGCAGACGCAGCAGCTGCTGCTGCAGAACGGCCAGATTCTCCAGCAAGTGAATCTCATCGGACAGCAGCTTCTCATGCCCGCCGGCCTGGTGATGGGACCGGATGCAACTCTGTTGCAGATCCAGAACATGCCCACCACCAGTCTGATGACGCCGCAGGGACCTGTGATGCTCCGCACGCCATCTCCGCAGAGCAAGCCTTCGTTCATCTCGCCGAGCGCCGGTGGCCAGCAGTACTTGGTGGGTGCCAACGGGCAGTTGAGCCCCATCGGGCAGATCTACTCCACGCCCATGGGTCTGGTGATGCCGACTGGCCAGCAGGGAGGTGCCTCCTTCGTGCAGGCTAGTCCCACGACTACCACCATCCAGATTCAGCAGCAGCCAGCTCCGCAGGCCACCCAGATCAGTTTGCAGCCGGCTCAGGCTACCTACATGACGGAGTCGGCGATGGGTCGTCGGGGAACGGCGGCCAGCCCGCCGGACACCACCACCTGCAGTCCACGGAGTCCGGAGCGACCTCCCAGCCATCGGAGCAGTGGCAGTGATATGGTGAGTGGTTGAAAGCAACTAACACCCTTGAATTTTTAACCAACGATTTCCCTTTTCTAGGTGCAATGCGTGTCCAGTTCGGAACCGGATGCAGCTGTATCTCCACAAAGCGTGGAGAGCCGACAGTCGCCGTCTTCGACGGACTGTGAGAGGAGTAAGTGCGTCCTCCGCCTTTTGGTACAACTAACTAATTCTATGACCTCTTCGCCAAACAGCCATGTGCCACAACAATCTGTTCACCCAGCCCAGTGGCATATACAAGCACTCGGAGCCCAAGATCAGGCGCATCCACATCACTTCACAGGCGGCAGCCGAGAACGGGATTAGCCTGATGCAGGGACAAGGTATGCGACTGGCCACTTCTAACACGAACTCCACATCCGCATCCATGACCATAACATCGTCATCCTCGGCACCACTAACCACCACTGTGACGGCGGGTCACCGCCAGCTTGTGCAGCGCCATCAGGCCTTGCAGCAGCAGCAGCATCAGCAGCACACCCAAAGCATCTCCAGCAGCCATCCCAACACCTTCCTCCACAGCCACAAAGTAGTTAGCGCCGACTACCAGGGTAAGGCCCCATCGATGACCAGCACTAACTGCATCCACACGCTAACCCACCACCACCACAAAACCAACACCACCACCCATTTGGCCACTGCATGACCGCCTGCAACATCTACAGCACCTGCACCTTTGTTTAGTTTGTAATCTCTGCCCTGCACTCCGTCTGTACTCCGCTGGTGCTGGGAACATCAAACACCGAATAACGAACACCCACCCCCCCCCCGAGTAACCAAAGCCCAAAGCCCTAGTCTCTATGTGTGTGTGTGTGTGCCTTTCGTAGAGTCGCCCACAACGACGCAGCTGACCACTCCGATCCAGGATGCAGCACCACCAACCAGCAACGCCGAGAAGGCGGCGGTCCGGACGCCCACGAAGCGTTCGCGTCGTCCGCAGCGGGGGGCTGCCCGTGCCACGCCCCTCCTGTTGCCGCCGCGCTCCTTCGCCATTGGGGAACTGATCTGGGGTCCGGCCCGGGGCCATCCCGCCTGGCCCGGGAAGATCGTCAAGATGCCCGACGGAGTGTGCACGCCGTCACAGCAGTTCGACCACGTGTGGGTTCAGTGGTTCGGCGGCGGCGGGCGCTCCACCTCCGAACTGATTCCGGTCAACTCGCTGCAGAGTCTCTCCGAGGGTCTGGAGGCCCATCACAAGGCCCAGAAGGACACGAGAAAGTGAGCATCGAACAAGGGTGGGGATGGGGAATGTCTAGCCAAATATCAGGGGCGGGCTTGCAGTTAATCCAAGTTAATCCAACAGATAACGACTTCAGGGAATTTCGGTTATAGGTGAACACCAGACCAGCACTGTAGAGCTGTATGTCTCGTATATATTTTTAATAACTTTATTACATTTTGTAACTTGAATTTTTACATATTGAAGAACATGTATTTGAATACATGGTTTTTATTTCCGTTTGTAGTTTATTTTTGCAGAACTCTGATACTTTACAATTTAAGTAACATATGAAATTTAGTAGTTTATTTTTTATTACAAATTATTATTTAGTTTCATTTGTAGTTTATTTGTCTAGAAGTTAAATTTGTAGTATATTTTTGCAGCCTTTGTAGCTTTGTCTTGCCAATTGGACATTTGATATTATTAGCTGTGCAATTTAGCGATAAATCGGCATTTAAATGCATTATTAATTAATTTAATCATTGTTTACATTTTGACTTTTCATTTGCTAATTAATGTTCTTGTTTCTTTTTTTAAAATGCGCTCAACCAAATCAAAAAATTAAACCCTGACCTGCCAACCCCAACGTGTATAACTCTGTGTGTATATGCATAATCATCATCATCATCATGACCAACAAAAACCCCACTCGAAAATGAAAAACCAAACCAAACCCGTACCGAACCGAACCGAAACGCACCGTACCCCACCTGAAACCAACCAAAAACTCAACCACATACACACACCCACCATGCGACCACAAAGGAGCCGCAAACTGAACTCGCAACTCGAGCGGGCCATACAAGAAGCAATGACTGAGTTGGATAACATTTCAGCCTCCTCGACTCCCGCAGCCACATCCTCCTCATCGCCATCAGCCACCACTGCTGCTCTGCCAGCATCGGGGCCTGCTGTAATTGCCGGACAACAGCAGTATCAGCAGCAGCAGCAGCAGCAGTCGCCCTCTTCAACGAACAACAAAATAAATGGACTCGCGCGGAGCAAGCGCCAGGCCAACACAAGTGGGGCCAGCATGGTGCTGACCACCAGCACGGCGGCCACACTGAGTGGCCTCTTCAATCAGCAGCGAGCCAAGCCCATACGCATAGCTCCGGCTCCACCCGTGGCCACAGCACCGGGCACCGGGCACATGGGGGCGATGCAAGGAGCAGCTGGAGCAGCTGGAGCGACTGCAGTCTCGACTGGGACGGGGAACGCTCTGACCCGGGCCGAGATCCTGAAGCTGGCCAAATGACCAGCGCTGTCGACGATGTCGTCGACAGTAAGCACAGCCAACTATACGCTCGTCATCGGACACAAGTAGCGCCACACAGGAGGCGATGCCGCCGTTCACGCGTATAGAATTTAGTGTTAGATGTCAGATGTCAGGTGTCAGATGTCAGACGGAGTTTGTTGATTTGTATTCTTCTTTACCAGACTCTCACACGACTCCCCGCTTAGTTGCGTCGCTGGGCGGCGCGCGCCACACTTTCGAAATAGACAATAAAACAACAAGATGATGTTAATGGAAATCAAGTTACAAAGAGCTCTAACCATAAGCGATAGGTTTTGCTTCTTAGACATTTTGCAAATTTTTTCGTTGTTTTGTATATAGTAAACACCCCAAGCTACATATGTATGCTAGTATTAAGTATTTATTTATCGTATATATATCCTTGGTTTCTATAGGTTTTGTTTTCGTTGCAATTTGTAGGCTTACCCATTATTTTTATAAATAGGTAGCTTAAGATTTATCCGCTAAGTTTAAATCCAATTATTCATAAAAGAAAACAGATTTACGCGAAAATGCGTTTAATAATTAAATTTGCTTTTTCAAGCAATCAACTTCAAATAAAAAGCAGCTACTGGTTTTCGTTTATTGCGTATGCCCAAAATGCTTTTTAAGCTCTAGGTGAACAAATTATTTATGTCGAACACAAACAAACCCTGAGAAGCGACGAAAGTATAATGAGAGAAATTATATTTATAAATTGTTATTATTTATTTAGTTGAAACTATTGTAAAATTATAATTGTAAAACAAAATACAAGAATCGAAATCACACTTAGCGGAACCACACAAAACAAATAAAAATTGAAAAACCAGAGATCATAATTTAGTTTATATTGTTGTGGTTATATCATATTAACATTTGAGCAGAGGACTTCCCTAGTCTCTATTGCAGATATCACACTATTGAGACTTTGTGTATGTCCCTATTTCGAGCAATTAGTCCGTATTGCTTGTTATATTCTTGTCAGCCATCACTTCCTCGATCCAATATTGATAAAAGTGCACCCTGGTGTACACATTGGGAAGGCTGGGCGTACCACAGCCTAATCCTGCTAATGTGATCCCCATAATTTGATAATGGCAATCTGTTTCCAAATGGTCAATAAGCAGAGGACCTCCCGAGTCTCCATGGCAGGTTTCGTTGGGCTCCGGCGATCCAACACACAACAAGCCCCGACACCTTTGTCCAAAGTTCTGAAGCTTCATTTTCATCAGTTCCCTGGACTGCTCGATTCGTCCAACATCCGTCTGACACCATCCAATTGCAGTGAAGGAATCACAGCTGTTTCCATCATTTAATGGCAGACAAGCGGGATAAATGTATCGGGTATAAGATACACTCTTGTTCAATCGGACAATTCCAATGTCGTTGTAAAGCACACCATACTGATACCTTGGATGTTGCTTTGTTTCAAGAACTTCATAAACAATGTTTCCCAATCGCACAACATTAACTTCTCCCCTGCAGAAATTAACCGTATATAGGTATAAAACATAATGCAGATTGACATTGCTTCTTGTTATACTTACTCTTCTGAAAAAAAACAGTGGGCTGCCGTTAAACCACTTCATTGCTTATCAATGTGCCACCGCAGAACCATATAATTTCGTCCAGGGAATCATTACGAACACCAAGGTGAGCTGCCGCCGGAAACTCTTCCGGATGTGCTGGTGTGCCACCAATTATCCCATATACATATTGTTCAATCCTGGAACTGGAGATACGTAGAATAAACAGTAAAAGAAATGCACAGGCTTATTTAGAATTTTTTAGACTGCATTGGCTGATGTTTTTGCAAAGACTAAAGTTGGGTAAGTTAGTCAATTATCATTGAGCTTGTTCCTTATATACATATGTATGTATGTATTTAGCCAAACATTTTGGGACTAATGATAAGAGAAACTTGGGCATCGCGTCGGACGACGTGTCGTTAAATTTATAAACCGGATTGTTGTTGTGGCGTGTGTCATTTCAAATTCAACAGTGGACAACAATGTTTTTGGTCCGAGTACTATTTGCGGTTAAAAGATATATATATCTATGTATATTAATCAAGCCATGCTTCAAAACAAAGTGTCGTTTATTTTATATTTGTAATATCTGCAAGGGTATAATTTTTGATCACGTCTACTAAAACACCAATAGCTTTACTTTTACTTAACATATGAAGGGAAATTGAATGGTAAGGATTGTTAATTAAGGTATTAACTATTCTGCATCCCAGATAAATGGAGGACCCACTTTCAAAGATATTTGAAATCAACATATTGAATCTTATTTTTTTTTTTAACTGCGATGTCATAAATACCACTCGTTAGTATCGAAAAGTAATATTGGTTAAATAAGCCTCTAATAATATAGCTTAACCCCTTAAGGCCTGCACCAAAGACACTGTTAACCAGTGTAATTTTTTACCGGTAACTTCGATGTTGTGCTAGGCAAAAATCCGGTTCCCAGCACGTGGACCCAGATAAAATTTAAACCAATGATAATAAAAATAATTTACCATATTTTAGTTTGTTTGTTTCTACTTCAAAAAATGAATCTGCCAAATGAGTAATATCTAAAAGCAGTAGTTTGAATAAGTCAAGTCTTAACCAACTCACCTTTGATCCAATCTCGGAAGTAGTGCACCCTCGTGTATAAACTGGGAAAGTCTGGAGTGTCACAGGCGATTCCAAATGACGTGATTCCCATGACTTGATATTGGCACCCATCTCCGGTATGAGAGATGAGTAGCGGACCACCCGAGTCCCCATTACAGGTGTCCTTATGTTCCGGCGATCCGACACACAACTGGGACGCTGGACGGTATCCTTCGGGCAAGCCCTCGTTTGCTTCTGTTGTTATCCGGCAAGAGTTTCCATAGTTTTGGAGAACCACCTTCCTCAGTTCCTTGGACTGCTCAAGCTGAGAAAATCCCGTCTGTCCCCATCCGATGGCAGTGAAGGACTCCAACAGATCTCCATTACTTAAGGGCAGGCAAGCGGGCAGCTTGTATGGGTTGTATATGACCTCCCCGCGCAGACGGATAATGCCGATGTCAGAGTAGAGAACTGGGTACCGAAAACCTGGGTGTAGCATCCTTTCCAGAACTTCAAAGTCCTCCGGTTCGGCATCGTCCTTGTCGTCGTCGAACACAAGTTCTCCTAGGCGCACAATATTAACGGATCCCCTGCGTAAATGTCACAAATGTGTTGCAAATATATGGCATATTGATAGCTGATATGGAAAGCTTACACATCCGAATAAAAGCAGTGAGCAGCTGTTAAGACGAGGCGACGACTTATCAACGTGCCTCCACAGAACCACGTGGTTTGGTTATTAGTATAACTACGATGACCAAGACGAGCGGCCGGAGGGTACTCATGCGGAAGCGCTTTAACTCCGCCAACTATCCAATCCCTAGGAGGTTCTGCCAAATCTACAAAGCCAATCAAACACTTGTAAATACTTTCAGTATTTATTAAACAAACAATTACCTTGACTGGCATGTATTTCAGAAAACCGTAAGCCTCTCAAGAAAAGCAGCAAGAAAATAGACATTCTCATTTTACAATATTCAAACTGCAACTGCATTGAGTAAAGATTTTGCAAAGACTAAAGTCGTCTTAGTATTTTGAATCAGTGATTAGACCGTTTTCTTTATCTGTGTAAGCTTTTGCAAATGATAAATGGGAAACTACATTTGTCTGGGTTTCACCAATCAGATTTATTGATAACAGGAAATTGCCATTCCCTAAATATCATTAGAGTAAAAGTTTTTAGGCATACTGTAAACTGATTCCCAACAAAACTATCAACTATTTTGTGAATTAAAGCTATTAATGCGTTGACGTTTTGTGATGTGCATTCCTGATTAAGCAACACACTAAAATTTATAACGAAATACCATTGACTCTTACGTCAAATAGTATCAGTACAAATCATAACAAAAATATTCAGTATACTCCGGGACTCCGAGCTGAAAGGAGCGGAGAATTCACCGGTCGGTTATACAAAATGTAAGAACTCGGGTTATTTTATATTGATAGCTCGATCTGCTAAAGAAATGTTTAATATTTGCTTATCTTCAAGCAGAAATTCAGATCTGCTTAGCTGAGCTAACCAAGGGTTTATGGCCGAGCCGAAGTCGGTGGAGCCGCAGGCCAAGCCTCCACCGCGCAATGAGCCGGATCTGCAGCCAGTGAATGGGATCGTCCAGCCGCCGGTCATTCCGCCGCCGAATCGCCCAGGCCGCCGGACCAATGTGCTGGAGAACCTCAAGTCCGTGCTGAACTGCATCTGGCGGAGTCGCTGGGCCTATCACTTCCGCCAGCCCGTGGATGCGGTGACCTTGGGTCTGCCCGACTACCACACGTTGATCAAGCACCCGATGGACTTGGGCACGATCAAGAAGCGCCTGCACAACAACTACTACTGGCAGGCGGACGAGGCGCTGGATGACTTCGAGCTGATCTTCGAGAACTGCATGCTCTTCAACCTGGAGGGCACCTTAGTCCACCAGGCGGGCAAGGAGCTGCGGAACGCCTTCTACACTCGCCTGGCCTCGATAGATCTCAGCAGGGAGGAGGAACTGAAGCCCAAGCAGGAGAAGCGCAAGAGAAAGGCTGCCGACGCGCTGGACACTGCTCCGGTTCCAGCCGTGGCACCTCCCCTGACTCCCGTGGGTCGACCCTCAAGGCACTGTCCAACACCCATTCCTGGGATGACCCCCCTGCCGGCTCCCATTCGCCATATGCCGCCGCCTACTCTAATACCCACTTACATGCCCAATTCCCTGGTAAATCCCTTTACTTCAATGCTCCCGTTTCCCTCGATAATATCGCCACTGAAGAATCCCTGGGAGTTGCCCAATTTTAAACCGGGAACTTTGGGGAACAATTTGAAATCGCCTTCAGAAAAACAGGATTCAACGCCAAACCCCTATCCACCAATTGTCCTGCCACCTCCGTTGACTTCTGCTCCTCTTGAACCCTTGATTATGCCTCTGCCAAAAACTCCACCTTCACCTCCACCGCCTCCTCCGCCACCTCCGAAACCCAAGCCAACTGTCATCTGTTACAAATCTCTGGATAGGATGATTGAGAAAAGCCACTGCGATCATCTCTTGAGGTCCATGGTGAAGCGAAAGCGGCGCCAGTTTACGTGGGCTTTCAATCGGGCGGATCACTGGCGCAGATACTCACAGAATCCGGACTACGACCACGACCGCGAGGAGAAGCTGGATTGGAAGGTGCTGCAGGATCGCTTGGATGCGGATATATTCCTGAATCTGGAGGCTTTTGTGAGCTCAGTGCGAAGGATGTTCCAGAATGCATTGCGTTGCTTTCCTGACGACGGACTAGTCAAGACCTCGGTGAAAAAGTCCAATGAGATATTTGAAAAGAGGCTGTGCAAATACAAGGAGCTGATAGCCAAGGCCAAAGAACGGGCACGCGAACTGGTGGCCACCAAGGAAACGGACGTGAACGCACATAAGAGCCCAAGTGATCAGGAGGCAAGTGGTTCCAAGATTGAAAACGATTTGGAGCGCCCCTCAGAGGGCCTAAGGAAGTCGGAGACCCTGGAAAAGGAACCCGATAAAAGTCGCATTATTACTCCATCCCCTAGTAAAGAAAGCAGTCCTGTCAACAGGACCCCTTAAAAGCTTATATTATCATACAAGCTTCGCTCTTTAACAAAATGTTGTTTATTATTATTGCTTAGATTCATATTTTACTCATGTTATTACACATATTTTATCTTCTATACAAGCCTGCATTACAATAAGGTTAGCTTAACTAATTGTACGATTTTGTTGTATGTATGATTATGAAACCTTTCATTATTGAGAAGTATGTTTTTGTTAACAATAATATAAGTGAAGAAGCCATATCCGAACATATAAAGCATATATGGAAGGCATTGCTCAATTATTATTATAAATCTGAATAAATAGAAATAAAAGCCGCCATATACTGCTTGTGCAGTTATATTAAAAGTGCATGGGCTATCTAACTTCGTTTTAAACTTTAATGGGAACATCCGCAACGCCCTCTACTGGCAGAGTTTTGTACCTTCTGTTTAGAGACGGAAAATAATTGACCGTTTTTTATCATCGAACGTCGAACTAACAGCGAAATGTTAGCGAATCGCCTTACTAACAGCGAATGTTAGCGAAACATCGAACCACCATAGAGTAGCAAATGGCGACTCTATATACATAGTTTCCTACTCTATGTCTATATGTTGTATGGTTAGTGCTATTATGCAAGAAAACCCCGCTGAAGCGAAATTTGGTCGATGAAGCAGAAAAGCCGCCTGTCTGAATAGGCTATAACATTGCTGTCATTTTCGCTTTTAACGATCTCGACATTTTTAACACTGGTGACCAAATTTGATTTGGTGTTTCGCCGCCTACTGCTTGGTTTAAGATTCGGCGTTGTTGATAACGTCATTGGTAACTGCTTGCGACGCGGTTTTCACTTGCAAGAGAATGTTCTGGAACCGCTTCTTGCTTATTTCGATTTAAGCGTGTATTTCTTGTACCGTCATAATCATTCGGCGATGTCAAACCACTTGTCTTCTCTGGAATCGGGAACCCTCCCAGTAATCGACTTCTCAGATCCTCCACCATCCAGTCTTTTTCTAGAGTTTCCTATTTCCGCTCTGCAAGCTCGGCCTTTTTCAGCTGGCTGACTGTAAACCAATTTGGGTTAATTTATGGTCAGGACCACTTCTGATAATTGTAGGAGTATAAAAGGCTTTATTAACTCACTTCTTGTTCGCGAGTGCTTCGTTTTCGTGGCGTTGTTCTTAGCATCCGCTTGGTGAAGATGGCTGCGATTGATATTGCAACCATAATAGTAATACTAATTTACATAAAGATATTAGTTACACTTTGTGGATATTATACATATTTAGTTTATTTTTTCCGAAATTTAATTTTTAATAACATGACCTCAACTATTAAAAATTTGAGCTGCAAGTGTATATGAACTTCGGCTTGCCGAAGTTTGCTTTCTTTCTTGTTTTTTTTATCCCTTGCAGAGGGTATTATAATTTCAGTCAGAAGTTTGCAACGCAGTGAAGGAGACATCTCCGACCCTATAAAGTATATATTCTTGATCAGCATCACTAGTAGAGTCGATCTAGCCATGTCCGTCTGTCCGTCCGTCTGTCCGTCTGTCAGTCTGTCCGTCTGTCCGTCCGTTTATATGCAAACTAGTCTCTCAGTTTTAAAGCTATCTGCATGAAACTTTCCCAAAAGTTGTCTTTCTATTGCAGGTAGTATATAAGTCGGAACGAGCCGGATCGGACGACTATAGCATATAGCTCCCATAGGAACAATCGGAAAAATAAATGAAAAAAATTATAACTTTGCTGTTTTTTAATTTTTTGTTTAGTTCTTCGACATATAGTAATGGTAAAATATTTCCGATTTACGTTTTAAATTTCATCAAAATCGGACGACTATAGCATATAGCTCCCATAGGAACAATCGAAAAAATAAATGAAAAAAAATTATAACTTTTCTGTTTTTTATTTTTTTGTTTAGTTCTTCGACATATAGCAATGTTTAATTATTTCAGAATTATGGTTTAAATTTTATAAAAATCGGACGTCTATATCATATAGCTCCCATAGAAATAATTAAAATATATAAAATAACTATCTAATAATTGAGCTGCAAATCATCATAGTTTCAATATTTTTCAGCATATACTCAACTAAATCATAATTTAAATGTTTTCAAAAGTATTTAATTCATGCAATAGCTGCAAGGGTATATGAACTTCGGCTTGCCGAAGTTTGCTTTCTTTCTTGTTTAAGTATAGTTTCCCTGAAAACGGTTGCCGTTGTAGTAACGGAAGTGTACCGGAAGAAATTACCAATAATTTAAGAAAACCATTTTTTGCAAGTAATGCCTATGGCAACAAAATTCAAAAGCGATTTTTCTTGATTTTAGAGGAAAAATTTATATGAGTGTATTGAATTGAAAATATTATTTTCATTAAAGGAAAGTAAGACCGACATTAGCATCAATGAATGTACCCTGCTGCAACTTAGACAAATACAACATGCAAACAAACATATACAATGCCATTTAATTAAAAAAAAAAACAAGTAAGAAAGCAAACTTCGGCAAGCCGAAGTTCATATACCCTTGCAGCTATTGCAAGAATTAATCATTTTTGAAAACATTAAAATTATAATTTACTTGCGTATATGTTTAAAAACATTGAAGCTATGATGATTTGCAGCTCAATTATTTGATAGGTCTTTTATATATTTTTATTGTTCCTATGGGAGCTATATGATATAGTCGTCCGACTTTGATGAAACTTAAACCATAATTCTGAAATATTTAACCATTGCTATATGTCGAAGAACTAAACAAAAAATTAAAAAACAGCAAAGTTATAATTTTTTTTCATTTATTTTTCCGATTGTTCCTATGGGAGCTATATGCTATAGTCGTCCGATCCGGCTCGTTCCGACTTATATACTACCTGCAATAGAAAGACAACTTTTGGGAAAGTTTCATGCAGATCGCTTTAAAACTGAGAGACTAGT